TTTCGCGGAGGGGATTTTAGGTAGGGAATCCGTAGCTTATATAAGTACGACTAATATATAAAATTCAGGGTACTCAATTAACCGGAATAGGAGGCGAGCGACTATAAGAAATTGTAGTAGCTAGTCCTTCTAGGCTATCTAGTTAAACGTTATCCGTACTAAGGAATCCTGGTTCTAGAAGGTAGATATATTAGTAATAGTAAAGTACTAAATAAGAAAGGTATAAGCATACTATAGCCTTTATAAACCGAGTAATCCCCGACTTCTGAGTACGGTATCGAGCTGCCTTAGTACAGCTAGTACCTTTAAGGTACTTTCCTATCGTAGAGGTGCCTTAGCGTGCTGTTGTCCCTAATAATAGGGATTGAGGATACTCTAAGATTGCTCTATATCGCTTATATATTACCTTAGGTACGCTATCGGAGCTATATACAACCTAATCGAATTCATCCTAGGATTTTAACTAATACTTCGAGTCCTATTTAATCTTAGTATTACTAGGACCCCTATATTGTGTTCTAATCTACTAATCTATAAATTCTTTATCAACCATTTCGTTATAAAGAACAAATACCTTTCTGCGGTCCGGTCCTATACGTATAAGACCTTTAGGGACTAGGAGTAGAATTAGTAGGCGTAGAAACTTAGGATCAAATAAATCGATTGCAAGCTAGCTAGTAGAGGGTTCGGAAATAGTAGCGAGCTACTCGTTCTTAGGCGTAAGGTAGGCAAGGTTAATATCACTATCATATAGAGATAATAAAAACGCGTCAGAATATTGGCTTTAAGATATAGTATCGGGAAAGGTAGAGCTAAAGATTTTAGCAGAAGGGCCTCACGTATATAAAGAATCTTAAAAACCCTAGCAATCTATCCTAGGGTACTATATCGTGCTTAAATACGGGTTAATATATCGTAGTACTAAACCTCTACATAATAATAATTAGCTTATCTGATTTAGCTTTAGTAGGTAGAGCCCGCAGAAACCCATATAAAACCGCAGAAACCCGCGTTAATACCTATAATAACCCGCAAACCCCGTAGTATAACCCGAATAACCCGCGAAATAACCCGCAGAAACCCGCAGAAACCCACATAACCCGCGAAATAACCCGTATAAACCCGTATAAACCCGTATAAAAACCCGCAAGAACTAAGAAAATCACGAAAACTACAAAACCCTATCAAAATATATATCTACAAAATATATATCTCTAACTCTACCTATAGTTTCTAGCTTACAGTACAATAACCCTAATAAAGACGTAATTTCTAACCGCGGTCAAAAATAGTAGTATTCTTAAGGGATCTTTCAATGCATAGATAGTTTCTGACCGCGGTCAGAGATAGCAGTAGTCTGAAGGGAGTTTTCAATGCATAGATAATTTCTGACCGCGGTCAGGAATAGCAGTAGTCGAAGGGTGCCTTAGACGTATAAACAAAACCGCCGTAGATTACTGTATTTTATTAGTATAAATCAGCATTTTTATACACTTCGCCATGGCTTAATTGGGAAAATTATGCAGCCGCGGGTTTTTGCGGGAACCCGTGCGGGTAACCCGCGCGGGTTGCGGGGCGGGTTGCGGGTTGGTCGAGTCTACCCATCGGGGTTGCGGGTTCGGGTTGCGGGTCGACTTCTCTTACCCATTCTCGGGTTTTGGCGCAGTCTACGTGTTTCTTCCTATTGCACAAAATATATCCTGGTCTACGCGATATATACTCCGTATCATACACCGAAATTACAAATTCGGGGTACCCCTTAGGCATCCAAATTATGATAGCATACCGCTCGAACCGCCGCTCACGATATAAGCGGTGCAGCTAGTATTTAGCTCTCTTCCAGTTTCAACGTCCTGTCCATTCATTGATATGGTCATTGAACGTTATAAACCTTACCTAATACAAATATTAGTTATAGTCTAGTTACTTTAGGCTATACTATATTATCTGCTAAAGTGCTAACATTTAATATATATATATCTCTGGTTTCTTCGATTTTTAGGGATTGCTTCAGCGCTAGGCGGTTAATATCTTATCAATTTAGCCTTAGTTTCGGCTATAGTAGGGGTAATCTTTCAAATAGATCTTAATAGAACGATTCCGGGCTTATAACTGATAGAAATCTGACTATATGATAATATATGGTATGGATAGCATCTTCGGCCTCCAGTGCTTACCTAAGACAAAGCACGTCCCGAGGTCCACGGGTGGTACTATGCGCTTCAGGTCTCCCTGGTCTCCTGTATCTGCCACATAATCTCTCGGATGGAATCCCGAGCTGTCTACTCCGTATGCCTCTTCGTTTCCAAACTCCCTTTTATGACTGTAATCATGGACTACTCAATGTCCGATTCCCAACCAAGAACAAAACGTCGGAAGATTGCTGTTGCCTGTGATGATTGTCGAGCAAGAAAAGTTCGCTGTGATGGGAAACAACCAGGTATGTTCCTTGCGATGGGTGCGGACGGAATGCGACCCGTGCTGACTCAATGCAGTGTGTGGGCCATGCAGCAAAAGGACCGACCGGGGGCTCCAGTGTGTCTATACAGGGGAGTTAGAGAAAAAGCGAGCAAGGCAAACGTAAGCGTTATAAATTCTACGACTAAATCAACCTTTGGTTGCTAATCTCTCTTTTTATAGTTATATATCCAAGCTAGAAACTCGGATCCAACAGCTTGAAAGCCCACAATACTCAGAGAAGGGTCATGGATCAGAATGGATGCCGGTTGGTGCATTATACCGCTTTAGTTTCACTATCTAACGGGTCTGGTTATAGCAGACCAATCTGCTATCGCCAACACCTGGTAATATCCAGCCGGAAACGCCTGGGAACTATGCACGAAGCACCCACAGCCAGCCTGACATATCCACGCCCACAGGTCAGCGGGACGGGGTGAATGCTATGATGGGAGCTGTAGAGGAAGCACGCCCAAGTCAAGGTTTCTTTGGAAGCTCTAGCGCAGCAGGATTCATGCGTCAAATCAGAACCGCAGTCGACAGGAGAATTGCATCACCTCACCGAAGATCTTCAGTTCCCCATCTGGCTGTTCCTTCAAGCCTGGTGTCAACTCGGAGCGAAAGACCTCAGTCTTCAGTTGCAAACTATGTGCTTCCCCCTCGAAAAATGGCCGATAGCCTCATGGAGGTTTACTGGGAATATGTCTTCCCGTTGTATCCGTTTCTTATTCCCGCTGAGATGAAAACTGAGTATATGAAAATCTGGACTGGTGGTAGTCTAGAATATGACGAAAATATGCTGATGTGCACGCTGAATGTCATTTTCGCCTTGGCAAGTCAGTTGGCCGATTTTGTCCCCCCAAAAGAGCGTGAGGCGTCGGCGGATGCTTTTTTCTCACGGGCAAAAGGCCTGTTTCAATTTAACCTCTGGGATACTGGATCAGCAGGTTTAATTCAATGCTTACTTCTCATGGCCCAGTATCTGCAAAGTACCGATTCTGCACACCAGTGTTGGATTGTCACCGGGCTCGCGATCCGTAACGCTCAAAGTTTGGGACTCCATCTTCCCCAGAACATTGCCCGCCTTCGAAGCTTCCAAGAGCAACAACTGGCGCGCAAAATATGGCATGGCTGTATTCTAATGGATCGGTATGTTCAAAACTACACCCTACCCGGCTAATCTCTTGCGTGGTTCTTATTTCAATGTTCTCAAAGGGTGATATCTATGACATTTGGTCGCCCTGCGATGATCTCAAAGGCTTCTAGTGGAGCGGTTCCTCTACCGGCCGCTGTTGACGATGAATATATTCCATCTGGGTGTAGTAAAGAGGTCTCCCAGCCTCCTGATCGACCTTCAATGATGGCATTCTACGCTAAGTCGTTAGAGCTTTATGAGATCATGAACGATGTGCTTCTTAGCCTTTACAAACCAATTTGTGACGATCATACGGAAGATGTCCACAACTTCTATTTCGACAATGCTACAAGCGAGGGAGAGCGGACTATCTTTGAGCTCGACCGCTCTCTCACTCGATGGACACGAAGCCTTCTCCCACACCTGCGTTGGGATTCCTCAACGTTATCCACAAATCCTATATTTTACCGGCAAAGCATTGTCTTGCGTGCAAGGTTCGTTATTTGTACTAATATGTCCGAGGTAGTCTGCAATAACTAACCAATGTGTTCCTATAGATTTCTACACGTGCGGATACTCTTGTTTCGTCCAACTCTCTCTAAATACTGTGCGGTTCGAGATAATGCCACAACAGACCCATTAATCTCGACGAACGACTCCTTCCCCCATCGCGTCGCGCTACAGTGCTCTATCATATGTGTCAAAGCTGCCCAAGAGTCTATCCAACTAATCTACAATAATGTCCCTGCTGACGGGACCGGTGGCCCCCTGCCGGCTTGGTGGTATAACATTCTTTGTTCGTACAGACTTTCCCCGGTGTGCTACTTCGAGATTCTGACTTAACCAGATGTTTATACTTCTGCAACTGTCTTGATCGCTGGCCGTTTATCCTCTGCAATCCTTGCCGAGGTCAAAGAAACCTCCATCACGCAGTCTTGGAACTATGCACTGGAAGTTCTTCGAAAATACCAAAGTTATAGCACATCCGCTCGTCGCTGTGTAGCGGCCCTTGAAATTCTTTATGAGCAAGTTGCCTCTGAAAGTCTGCTGCCAACAAATCACATGCCTAGTCATGAAATAGGAGCCAACGCAAGTGCAGTGAATGATATGTCCTTTGGCGAAGGAATGAATGCGGCTATCTTGGATGGCTTTGGGTTTCCTGATTTTCAAGATATGTCATGGTTAAACAGTGTTCCGAGCAACCTTTTCTAGATACCTAAAGCCTTGAATTTACAACGCCTACAGTGAATTAAGTGAGGATTCAGGATATACACTCAACTTTGTCTAGTTAGCTGAAACGATGCCGATTCCGGTGGCTTTTCCTTTTACGGTCCAGGGCAATGAACCATCAATTCTGACAAGCAGCATTATGCCGAAACAATTTAATAAAATGCAGGACCAACTGCTACTAGCGCTTCTCTGCGCGTGTCGAAACGAATTGGACTGCGATGATTGGAAGTAGAGCACATCCACCGATAATCGCAACCATCACACCCGCAGCTCCATCAAAGCCCAACGCAGTGAACATGTCTGGGAAATAAAACGGTCCAGCCTATAGGTAGCATGTTAGTGATCAAACATGAAGTATCAAGATCTTGGTATGGTTTTACAAATTCATATAATTGTCGGCAAACATTGACAAACACACCAACCTGGCTAGCCCGTTCTTGTCTACTCTCCACGGCAGATGTCGTCAGCATTGTCGTCTGCATCTGATTACCGAAATTTGTTATGGTAAACTTGTTATGACAGCACCAACACAGGGCGTGACATTCCAAGTGGTCGCATGCTGTAGCTGGAAGCCCAAGGTCAAAAGACTAGCGAAAGCCGTAGCAAAGGCAATTTAAGATAACCATATACGATCGGCCTGGTATGACTTGCCCCTAGATTTGCGACTAAGCTCTAAGAACCAATCGCACATGGGTCCACTAACTTGTTCTCCCAACACACAACCGATAATAATAGCAATGAACTGTAATCCAATCTGCTGAGCATCGAAGTGAAACTTTTCGCCAAACGTGATAGGCATTTCAAAAATTAAGGCAATATTGCCATAGCAGAAGTTAATAGCATAGGTGCATGCTATAATCAGAATGCGTGGATGTTTCGCCAGAGAAAACGGTGCAACGAAATCCAGAGGTCTGAGAGAATGAGAGCTGATCTTCCGTGGAATTAGCTTACCCTAGAATCCAGTTTATGTGCGCTCGTTGTCGGAATTGTAGATGGTCTCGTCGCCAATCGCAAGATAAACCAAAAATTGGCAAAAGTTTAGCAAAGATCCAAAAGATCCACTAAACACCAATATGTTTGATCACGGATCCCACAAAGAATGGGCCTGCTGGTGTACCAATGATTGTCATCAGAGTCCACTAGCCTAGCTTTTTCCCCCGATGCTCGGGTTCAGATAGCTCCGTTACTATACCACTTCCATTGTCAACAGGGGAGGAGGTCGGGACTCGGGAGCTCAATCAGCAGTTTTCAAGGCTGAGTGATGGGTTGGTGAGTGAGTGGTGGAGTGAATGATACAGATTAGTGTGAATAACGCATTGATCAAGATTCCAAGGTTAATAACGATCCTTTGGCAGACAGCTGGTTAGTTAAGCAAGCTGAAATTCATGCCTAAAGTCTCAGGCAACAAGATCGTCTTTTGACCTCCGGGCCTCTCATCCGTTTCTTTTTCCCATTTCTCTCATTTCTCTCCCCCAGTGTCTTGCCAAAAATTTTCACAAATGGGAATATCCCCTTTAATCTCCTTTAAGAACAGTCTCGGGTGAACGATGACCGAGCTATTTTTCCGTTCTCCGTCAACCCCCCGCATCCCCAGACTTCCCCATATAATCTCCCCCGGTGGGGTTAATGTGGAGAGAGTTTTCCCCATCTTAAACTTGAAGGTGATTGGTATGATTCATGACGGGATTTCCAATCCATTGGCGGATATCAAAATCCGTGTGCAGAGAGAAATGAAACTGAAATAAGACTGTTCTTTGTTTCCATATGCAGTCGGCTTGTTCGGGGCATTTATTTCCCGACATGTTGGAATCATTTATAAAGACAAGGTAGCAATTCATGACGACAACGGTTTCAAAAAAGCACACCAATTTCCAACACCCCACATGCGGGCTTCCTTTTTCACAGCCTTGACGGCGGGGGCTGCTGCTGCCACAGCGCTACACGTCGCAGAAAACCAGACCTACATCACCCTCGCCAATGATCGTCTCACGGCTGTTCTTCAGAAGAGTGTTGGCCAGATCGTTGATCTGACTCTCGATGGCCAGGACTTATTGGGCGCTCAGTCAGGATCCACGGGGATAGGGCCCTATCTTGACTGTTACTGTATCCCTTCGGGCTTCTACACAGCCGGTGCCACATCCGCGAGCATGGAGGTAGTCCAGGGTACAGATTCAACGGGGACCAAATATGGAGGCATGATTTTGAGTGACACATACACTCCCACGGGTCAGAAATTCCAACAGTACTGGTTCTTGCGTGATGGCGAGACTGGATTGCATATGTTCAGCCGATTGGCTTACCACAATGAGACCACACCTTACCTTCGCAACTTGCAGGAGTTTCGAACCTTGTTTCGTCCAAATAGTGATCTCTGGACACATCTGACGTCTAGCGAGATCCAGACCGCGCCCCTACCAAGCAAAGATGCCATTTCGAAGCAGATTGTCGTTCAAGATGCAACGTGGACATTCAACAACACGCCAGGCGATGCGTACTACACCCAGTTCTCTGAGTACTTTACTAAATATACATTCTCAAACCGTATGCTCGACATCCTGTGGTCTTCAGTTACTGATTATTACATTGGCTAAATCATATTCACCTTTTTAGAATGGAGAAACAACACTGTTCACGGTCTATACGCTGATGGCAGCACCTCAAATGGGGCAACATATGGAGCATGGCTAGTGATGAATACCAAGGTTGGTCATATTGGTCCAATCTTCACCAAGATCGAATTCCATTTAACAAATTTGTTCTAGGATACATATTATGGTGTAAGCGATATCGAGCACGGTGGGACACAGGAGCTGACATCTCTTAGGGGCCACTCCATTCTGACTTGACAGTGGACGGTATTGTGTATAATTATATAGTATCAAACCATCATGGAGAGGGTACGCCGAACATCACAAATGGATTTGATCGAACTTTCGGTCCGCAATTCTACCTCTTCAATGGCGGCAAGGGCTCGGCATCTCTGCAGGAACTGAGATCTGAGGCAGAAAAAATCGCAAATCCCCACTGGAACGCTGCATTCTATGATTCAATTGCAAAGCATGTCGTTGGATATGCTCCCTCAAGCCAACGAGGCAGTGTCAAGGGAACCGTGAAACTTCCCAAGGGTGCCGTTCGCCCAATTGCTATTCTCACTGTCGATGGCCAATACTTCCAAGATAATAGCGCCGTTCCAAGCTCCTATCAGTACTGGACGGATATCAATGCGGATGGAAGCTTCAGCATTGATCGGGTTAAAGAAGGGAAATACCGGCTCACAGTCTACGCAGAGGGCATTTTTGGTGACTTTGTACGCGATGGAATCACCATTCGTGCAGGAAAGCAGACTTCATTGCATGATATTTGGAACCAGGAGTCGGCAGGGACCGAAGTCTGGCGAATTGGGATTCCCGACAAGTCCTCAGGCGAGTTCCGACGTGGCAATGTGAGAGATCCAACCCATACGCTTCATCCTCCCGAGTATCTTATCTATTGGGGAGCTTATGACTGGCGGGCCGATTTCCCTGATGGTATCAACTACACTGTCGGTGTGAGCGACCCTGCGACCGATCTTAATTCTGCCCATTGGTCGGTCTTCGGGCCAACGGCGAATGATTCCCGCGTCGAGTATGACACGACAAACGACTGGAACATCCATTTCAAGCTCAACTCGAAACAACTGAACAAGCGTAAAACAGCCACATTAACGATACAATTAGCCGCCGCAAAGACTGCAGCAGGCAACACGGATGTGTGGAATCCCGTCGAGGAATACAACAATTTGTCACTAGAAAGCTATATCAACAATCAGGCGGATCCTTTGACTCTCATCGTTGGGTTCAATCAATCCAGCAGCTGTATTGTGCGATCTGCCGTAAGCTGTTACCAGGTTGGGTCAAGAATGGAGTTTCCTGCGGATTGGTTACATGTTGGAGACAATGTGTTGCGATTGCATTTACCTTTCAACGCAACGGATACAGAGACTGCCATTCTCCCGGCCACTGTTTATGTGCAATATGATGCTATCCGGCTAGAGCTCAATTAATATAGCTCTTTCATGACGTGCCGCGCTTTCAAAATCAATCAAATCAAACTCATATCCGTTCTTTACATCGGCCATGGTAGTAGGGTTTCATTGGGACTCTTGCCTCAATCGCTCAGCAAAACAATCCGTCCTACCTGAGATACTTTCTCACATTAAGTCTAATACATCAAATGGAATAATGGTCGAGAGAACTTTTTTCGGCCCACAGAGATGAATGAGTAGGATCAAGTTCCCTCTTTCGAGAACAATTCAGCCTGAAAGAGACTTTACACGGAATAAATTAAAACAAGGACCTTTTATCCTCAATAAAAATAAATACATATGGTTAAAAGCCCCAAAGACTGGTAACAAACGAAAGGCAAATGAATGGCAAAATCCGCTCTTGAGAACAGCGATCTCGCAAATTTGAGAACGCTGGCCTAACAAGACTGGATAACAGAGGCCCTTGAAGATGCAAGTGTACATATATGCTCCGTACTAGTATCCATTTTGAGCCTTCCTCGCAGAGACCGCCGTAATTAACAAGTTTGGTGGTTCTCGTTGATATTTCCATCGCGGAAAAGGCTGTACTCGACGAAATAAAATTTACAGAAGGCTGCCGAAGCTGACACAAGGGGCGGCAACACCGACGACGTTGCCGTTCTATTGAAATTAGTGACTCTGTTCCTCTTCTATGGTCTTGGGGGAGCACATACAGCCTGGGAGTTCGAGTTCTGGCAGCAGGCAACGTTCTGTTGGCAGTTCTTCTTGAGGAAGTCGGTCAGGCCAGCAGCACCAAGGACTATAACAGGGTCAGCCTCGCGCTTCAGTTCAGCTGAGTAGATATATCACTTACCAGAGACGGGGATGTCAAGCTGAGTGCAGCCCTGGCCAAGACCGAGACCCTCGCTACCAATGGCACCGAGGACGTTGGAAAGGACACCAATGTTGTTCTGGCTGATGCCCTCGCTCTTGTTGATCTTGTTGCAGCAAGACATCTTGGCACCATCACCACACTTGTTCACTGCATCCTCGACCTCGTTGCTGGAATGAGGAGCAACGCCGGCGGCAGAGCCCGAGCCAGGCAAGGCCATAGCGGTAGCAGCGAAAAGGAAGGCAGGGACAAAGAACTTCATTTTGATAGAGATTTTGAAGAAGTCGAAAAGCGATTGAAGAAGGTTGGTAGATTGAGAGAGAGTGGAAGGCTTTGAAGACGAGAAAGTTGAATAATGGATGAAGAACGATCACTGTAAAGGTCATGCCTTTTATAGCTTTTCTGGTTCTCCTTTTGCCCCCTCGCTTTTTCCCTTGATGCTTCTAAGGTAAAAAAACCCCTCGATTGTCTCCCAGCATCTAAGCTCCTAACACTGCAGGGAAGTGGATGCCCCGATGAATTATTGTTTTCAACCAGCAGAGTAGGGCTTGGCCAACATAGATTATCGACTTTCA